ACCGCTGATTCAAAATATCTGAACATTTCAGAAAATATACTTCAAACATATATCAAAAACGAAGGAGCAACGGAAATTTGAAAAATTACCCGATAAAAAAATTGGGATCAAAATAAGGAAAAAAGTACACTTCTCAAATTGTTTTTTTCTATTTTTTTTAATTTGTATGAGAGATTTCAAAATTCTAAAGCTCCTTCCATTTTGGGCTATATTAGAGGGATGTTTCAGAGAAATTAGAAAAAAAAATGTTCAGGGACCTTTGCCGTGCTACTCTTTTTGTCAATTTTTCTGTCACATTTTCAGAGGACTCAAATTCCCATTCCAAAATGTTTACTGTTTCTATTTGCATTACCACAGTGAGCCTGGTTATATAAATGATAAGTGGAACTAAAAAATTGAGAGAAAATCCAACCAAAAGACAGTTAATTTTGATGGTCAGATTATACTCAAATGCCATGTGCTTCCTGGTTTCTGCCATCTTTGATTTTTTGATTAAGTTATAAGTTACCTTAAATACGCATAAAAATCGAATTTGAATGAATAATTGCAGGGGTCCAAAGACATAATCAACATGTTATAAATGTCCAAATAATTGTAACTTATTGCATAAGTTGCCGAGGAGGGGATGCATATTTTCATTAGCTGAAACTTAAGCATGTCTTCTGTCTTACCATCTCTACAATAATATACCTGTAGAAGAATTCCCTTATTAAATCCATCTATTTTGACAACCTAAGATGTTTACATTGACAAAGATGATATAATTGTTTTAAATTGATTTTTCTCCAATTAATTGATGGCTGTCTACAAACACTGTTCACTTCAATAACAATAGTTTTAAATCTGGTCAATACCTCATTATCGACTTGCAAGTTAGTACTTTTCTAAAATGAACAACTTCCTTTCTTGATCGATGCTAGTATTTTTATATTTTCCATGGGCATAGCCAGCTTTCAGTCAGGGGAGAGGGTGCGATTGTGGCATATGAGAGCCAAAAAAACATTTTTTTAGATTCGTTTTGAAATCTACCAAAATTGATGCAATTTCCTTCAAAATTGAGCTAAACGCTTCAAATAAGCATTTCAAAGCTCTTTTCTTCTTCTATCTAATGGCTTTATTTCTATTGGTTATGGGGGGACCCATCCCACCTCCCGCCTGGCTATGTCTATGTTTTCATATATGGCTGCTTGTTTACAATTAGAGGTTATATATGTTGCCCATGTGTGTTAATACATTTGTTATCACCCTGAACTTGGTTGACATCAGTAGAGAACATTTTCTTTCCAGTTGATATTTCTCCCTCCGTCCCTTTATTGCCATGGTTACTTTGCATTAATGATCAGTCACACTTATTTGAGATGAGAATTTCGTAGAAATGAAACATGATGTCATAATATTGCCTTGTTAATTAATGAAAGCTGGCTAGCTATACAGGTCTGTAAAGCTCGCCTACTTTTTTATGGATTCCAATACAATGAAATGGCAATTGCTAAGTATGTATAAGTATAACCTTATACTTGGTCAATATCTGGAAGTTAACTTCAGATCTGAACTACCGGTCTTCATATTTCTAAACAAATACTGAAAGCAATACATCAATAATAAATGCCATAAATTCATAATTACGACAAGCCAAGAATAGTAAAATTGATAATTAGGGCTACTTTCGTTGCTTTAGTCACAACCCCAGAAAACGTTGTGCTCTACAACTCGGTAAATGCTGCTGTTTTTTGGGACATGCATATTAATGCAGAAGGTTACGACTTGTGCACTTTGAACTTGGCGTGTACTGAAGAAGAAATTGTCTTTTCAGTTGATGTTTCTAGCTACATCTTTGATTTTTTAACAATTGTCACGACTGGCGAACAAAGGTAGCCTTGATTTTTAGCAAAGGAAAACTCTATGAAAACACCTACTAGAATGCCGGTATTAATATGGGGTTTCATATTTTCCATTGCAGTGTTTGCTTGAGGAAGCAAGAATCAATGACAATTCTGCATTATTTTGACAGTATTTGATTGGTGACTTGAGACAAATATTTTATGTCATATTGTCAGAGTGAACAGATTTAAATTCAGCATTCTTGAGTAAGATCCAATGTTTTTCCATAATGTTAAGATCTTATTGTGTTTGTGGTTAATATATTATCAGTATTTTTGATTTTCGATATATTACAAACGATGTATTATTGGAACAACCATAACTTCAACTTCCTAAAAAATTGTAAAATTTTAGATGAAGCAGTTATCTTCATTATTATTTCTATACAGGGTGCTGAATCCCAATCCACGGGGGTAAAGCAGACCCATGATGCAATGAGCTTGCTCGGCGGTATCATGACTGTGTAACAGGTCTTAATGTATAAGTGTGCTCGGCGGTAGGTTCAAACAACGTGGATCCTCAAAGCATGTGCTCATGGTATATTCACGTTTTAACACCCGTGCAATCAAGTCTCCATAAAATATTTACAGTACAGTAAAACCTGTCTAATCCAAACGCCTTTGGGACCGGATAAAAGCGTTCAGATTAGGAGGTGTTCACATTTCAAGGTTTTTGCATTCGTAATATTACGGAACACATTCTTGGTAAATATTTATAGTTCTTTTCACCACATAGCTTTATGGCATTCCAGGAATTTGAAAATTGTGTTCAGATTACATAGGTGAATTTTTCAAATATAGGATTAGGAGGTGTTCACATTTTTTAACATTGGAGTCAATGGGTGGAAAAAATGGGGCCGAAAAAAAAGTGTTCAGATTGGGAGGTGTTCTGATTTGCCAGGTGTTCTGATATACAGGTTCTACTGTACTTAGAAATAACTGCCTGAAAACATGGCAGTTATATAGTTCTATTAGTAATTTATAACATCTAATAATGGTATATTACTTTAAGGTAATAAATCTCAGTGTGCAAGTTAAGCATGAATTGATCACTATATTTATAGCCTCTCAGTGCAGGAACAGTTCTCTCAGAAGAAAAATATTTATTGAAATGCGACTTGATTAAGGCTACATTCGGTTCACTGGTTGCGACCCTATACAACATGATTACTCCATTGCAAGAACAGGAATGGATTCAACTTCCGTAATTTTATCAGATCACAAAGGCATTGCTTTATAGTTTATTATCAAATATTCAGTTTTATAAAACTATATTGGAATCATGATAACATATTACATTATACCAGCATAATATTCACGAAATGAATAGTATAAAATCAAACTTGCACATAAAGTACTTTTGGTGAATAAAAATATTACCAAACACACAGCAGGAAGACTAATGGATTAGGTAATGAAAAATGAAAATAGAATGCAATTAAATATAATACATTTATTTAGAATACAGGTTCGGGATCCATTATTATCATATTCTTATACGGAGAAATTATTTCACTGTACATGTGAAAGATGCAATGAATTTGAGATTTCATTGTGCTATATGTGTACTTCAAAGCTGTATGAGTATACTTGTATAAGCAGGTCTCATATATTGTTTTCACTCCACTTCAAATGTCAAAACCCCCTAAAATCATGACTGCTAAAAATATGTAACCGATGTGTTTGATCTAAAGTTGCTTCACCGATATATTAAGTACAATGCTAAATACAAGCCTTAAACACAATAAAACATTGCCACCAAAAATACATCTATTTAGCATACAATTCAGAATCATTTCAAAAACATACAATTTGTAACAACTTGATAGCCTTAATGAAAGTCTACTGATCCATTAGAGCAAGCCATGTCAAAATAAAAGGTAAGACAGTGCATGATGACAGTAATCATGTTCATTATCACCAGAGTTTATCGAATTAATTATTCATTGACTAAATTGACAAAATCGTAACAATTACAACAATCCAAAGCATCATTAAATGGATCGCACATATGAGAGTTCCCAATAGAAATTCCTACACTCTTCACAAATATCTATAGAACCATATTGATTTTGCAAGTTCTCTCTCAGAAGTAGCACTCAACCTACTTCCAACACTAATTGCATAGATTCCCGAATGCTTTCATCTTATGAAAGTTCCCATGCATTGAGGTCTTGTATTGGAATCTGAAATGAGACCTTAGATGGAGAAAATATCTGGTTGTAGAATGAAGATTCAGTAACATATGGTGTTCAAATATAAGAAGAAAATTGTTCTTTTCAATTAACAATATCACGGACAGTTGCAATTAAAATATTTCTGACATGATTATTACATTTGAGGAATCAAGCTGTAACATATTTATGCAACAATATATCTAATGTTCAAACATAAATGACTTCTACATTGAAGAATACAGGAATTATGAATCGATATTGCATTAAAACATTTTCTCAGATCAATAGTTGCAGAATGAGCCACCATTTGGGCACCAAATTTCGTATCTAAATTAGTAAACCAAGGCCTAGCAATTGTGAAATTCTTTTGTCAGTTTATATTGAGGGTTCCATGCCTGGGGGAGGTCCGAGGTACTGGTCAACTTTTTGTACAGGGGGTGTTGCTGAGATTCAAAACATCTACCCACATCTAGGGATTTTCTCTCTAAAAATAGATTCACATCTAGGGTTTCAAAAATAGACCCAGTGTGAGGTAATCTTTCAAAAACAAGACCCATTTCCGGCGATTTGAGTTTTAGGATTTTCAAAAAGAAGCCCCAGGTCTAGGGATTTTTCAGTGAAAAAGTGGCCTACTATAGCTGCATGTCCCCATATGGCCAATGTACGGGAGTATCCCCTGGGCTCCATAAAAACCCTCTCATCAGTCAACTGTTTTTACAGGATACAGGTAATATCAACAAGATTTATCAAAGTGGCACTCACCCACACATGTGTGCCCCCCTCCCCCCTGCCCATCAGCACAATACAGCAATACAGCATTCACTTTTTCAAAGTGTGATAAAACCAGTCAAAATATTTAGTTAGGAAGAACAGCCACTCTTCCAAACAGGCTGTTGTTTATGTACTTCAAATCATGGGCAAGTCAATGTTATTATAGACTTACCTGTTAATCTCAATCTGTTGTTGGTCATGCTTGGACATCAGCTGGTCAAAATCATTCTGTAACTTCTTAAATTCTGGAACATCTTTCAACAATGACAGATCACAAATGCCATTGATAGTCTGCTCTGGTAGGCGTTTCATAGGAGGGGGACGTGGTGGAGGGCCGTTTGAAACTTTTAGAGGCTTCTCCAGTATCATTTCTGTAGTCTTAGCCTCTAGCTCAGATTCCAATTCCGATAACAAGTCATCGTCACTTTGCACTATGGCTTGTTGAATGTTGTCATTTTGCACTAAGGCTTGATGTGTATTGTCACTTTGCACTATGTCTTGTTGAATGCTGTCATTTTGCACTACAGCTTGTTTATTATTTTCTCCCTGCACTATGGCTTGTTTTGCATCTTCATTTTGAACTGAAGCTTCCTTTATGTCACATGTGACTTCAGGGTGATCCATTTCAAAATTGTCACTTTGTACAATATCATGCAGTGCCTCATTACTTTGCAACATGGCTTGTTTCGAATTTGGAATATTGTCACTGACTGCAGTTTCTAAATGTTCTTGAATTCCATTCTGTATTGGAATATCTTGACTTAGAGTTGTGGAGCTGGAATGTTTCTGATTACGTTCTGTAATAACTTCTTGACTTGTATTATGAATTTCTGATTCATGACCTTCCTCTTGTGGACTTATATTTAAAGCATTTGGTTTGTCACTAGAGTCTGTTATAGCACCATTTTGAGCCTCAGATAGAGCATCATAGTCCATTGGCTTATTGTCTGCATCAATATCAACAGCTTCATTAGTCTCTTCAATCCGATCATTTGCTGAGTGTTCTTTAGTTTGCGACTGTCTACCAGTCAAATCTCCATTTCTTGATTCCTCATTGTCATTGACACTTTCTTGGTCACTACATTGTATCTCATTACTCACATTTGAATCATTATCATTACTTACATTGTTCACATTTTCATTGACTTCTGTTGGGTTCACTGCATTTTTGTCCTTGTCCTCACCTTGAACATTCTCATCAATTGATTGACCAAAACTTGGCTCAGGGTCAGGGAGACTAGATTGATCACATTCTGGTTCAACTGGTTCTAGGTCACATTCTGGAGGCTCCTCTGCACAGTTACTATTGGATGTTCCCACAATTTCAATAACTGATTCAACCTTAGGTGGATCCTTCTCAATATTTTCATTATTTTCATCCTCAGTCTCTCTGTGATCATTCCCAATATTGTCATCTGCATTAGTATCCATTCCTTCTGCATTTGAATTTAAATGTTGACTTTCAACAAGTTCGTCATGATGTGACTCAGTACTGTCTCCACCTACGGAAGAATCAGATTCTGTATTTTCTGGTTGTAAATGCAAGGCTCCATCATCTTCTTGTTCAGGGATGATGTCTACTATGTTTGCTTGAGCATTCTGATCAGCAATATCTGGTGGTGACGACTCGTTCTCATCCATTGTAAATTCAATGTTATCAACTCAGTCGTGCATGTCCATATCTATTTGTATGTATCAAACTTTAACTGATCTGAAAATAGAATTGAAACAGTTTTCAAAATGTTAAAATACCTGATTAAATATACAGGGCGTATGAAAAAAAACGCAACACGTAGTTATCTCGTAAAATCACAAAACTAGTGAGGACTACCTCAATTTCATTTAATGTACCATAAAGCCACGTCTCTCCTCTTTGCAATGATATGTCATTCATTCACATGTGGTAATGGTTGGGTGAGAAGTCCTTCCGTTTGCACAGTGGGTCAAAATCGGCTCTGCACCAAGTTTTAGATATTGAAAAAATCAGTGCAAGGGCTAAGTGCCAATGGAAGTTCCACTGACTTGAATTGTTGTGACTTTTTCTTTTGGAGCTATGCCAGGAGCATCTGTGCTCACAATTCCTCCGCCAGATATTGCAAAACCTCAAGAAAGATTTGCCCATGGGCTGCTTTTCTCTGCTTTAACCCACACATGATCCAGGGCTGAACCATGCATGACGTGGACAGATGAGCGCATCTTTATGTGAAAGGAAGTGGTGGCTATTTTGGAGGGGTATAGGATGTTTTCTTGCAAGAGTATGAGTATGAACATTTTACTGTCTATGCCATACCTGTCACACCTTCTTCCAATAGCCCCTATGCCCCTTGTACTGACTTTTGCAATGTTTTAAACTTGGGTTTGAGCTGAAATTTGCCCCACTTTGCAAAATTAATGATTATTCGGCCAGAGATGACTCCCTGGGAATGAATGATATTCCATTACAAAGAGGAGTAATTTGGCTTTTGGTACATTGATTTAAAAGGATGCAGTCAGCATTGGTTTTATGTTTTCGTCCAATATTGCATCGGCCTCCGTACACTGACTTTTGCGATGTTTATATAACTTGGCCCGAAGCTAATTTTGGCCCACTTTGCAAATGGAATAATTATTCACCCAACCATGACCAAATATCAATGAATGACATATCATTGTAAAGAGGAGACACATGGCTTTATGGTGCATTGAATGAAATCAATGCTGTTATCACTGGTTTTGTGCTTTTCCAAGATAACAATCTGTTGCATTTTTTTATACGCACTGTATATGTGATGGACCTCAATTGAGAAGCATTTATGTAGCAAAGAAGAATTCTGTAAAAAATTGAATAAAAAAATTGGGGCATTGTTGGATGATCTTTTATAATTATTTGCTTCTGAGCACTTACCATTAAAAGCTAACCACAATAAACAAACCTGACAGATATTACCCTTTCTTCATTTTAGAGAAATTTTAGCTCAAACTTATGACAAATGCTTTACAGTTTGGAACATAAATAAATGACAGGTGGATTTTCTATCACCATTTCCTAACCATGGTCGTCTGAAAGGCCATAGATTGCAATATTGTCTAGATCCATATCCCCTAAAGTTTGTATATTTTACATTTTGTATAATCTCATCCACTGATGTATGGCCTCTTGAAAATTCTCTTATTTTTAACATGGGAAATCCTCACTTCAGCACCTGTCATTTATTTATGTTCCAAACTGTATGTATACGCTGGCATGAAGCCTTGGAGACACCCATTTTGGTAAATATGATTTACGGTGTATACTTTTCTGCAGTTTGGGTCATTTAATGTTGAAATTCAAGAAAATATGCAAACAATACGACTTATCAATTATTTTGTATCAGCATTGTTGTAGGTGTGGTTATTTGTTTAGAATAGGTCCCCCAAAATATGATAATGCAACTTTATTTCACACTGATAAGTAAATATGTAACCTTGAGACTGTATTCAGATTCGTGAAAAAACTCAAAATCTTGCAAGAAATCGATCGTTCCGATGAAAAATAACTATCATCACTCGTACATGTAGGCCTAATCTTCATCTTCGATCTCTCATGAATTGAATGTCAAAAATTTCTTTGGAAATCGAAGGCGTGTTTTAGGATTGGTTAATTTCTACGAATTGAATACATAATCTAAAATACTTACTTGATATTTATATACTTATCTGTTGTATAGATATCTTCAAAAATGTCTATGTAGACTGGAAAATGATGATATTTGACAGTGTTTATATTTTCCTGTCAAAAACGGAAGTGCCAACAAATCAAAATGGCCGATCAAGTGACCTTCGAACTTTTGACCTATTTTTGATCGCGCGAGATTTGAAAGTTCAGAAAATTTCAAAGATAAAATCGTTCAAAAATTAGTTTTCTAGTGATTACAGCTATAGCACTGCTAGGTCATTGTGACCTATAGCCGGATAATCAATGCACTGGTCAGCAGAAATAAATGAATAAATGAATTAAAAGCCACCTTAAGTGTGTCATTTGTCACTGTAGTGTAGGTTTAGTGTAGTGTTGTGTTGTGTAATGAAGTGTTGATTGCTTTGTGGTATTTTCTGTTAAGCGGATACCGCAAACGCATAACCCCATATAGTGCACGCCTAACCATCGACAACGTACAGTGACAAGATATACTGTCGTACACGTTAGGTGTACGGTGTCACTATTAACTGATTTGAAGCGAAAACTATGATGTAGGTTTGCTTGTGGCTTCATGTATCCCTGGTACAGATAAAAGTGTTTTTTACCTCTTGTAGAATGCCATTTTATTATATGAAAGTGTTGATATGGTGATTAATATTTGACCATGGGGTGTACGGATGTTATCTTCCAATCTCTTTGACCATTCGAATTCAGAATGTGAATTCATTGTGAATTCAGATATGTAAGTTCAATGGGACAACGTACATCGAGATGATAACGTACACTAATGATTTTTTCATTTTTATTACTTTAGAAAAAACGTGAATATTTATTAAATCTTCAACCGACCTTAATTATGTAACTTTGGGAAACATATTCTCATGAAAAATAATCGACACTCTTAGGCGACAGGGGAAAAATGACCAAAGAAAATGTGAACAAAACCAACATTTTCCAACCGATCATTGTTGGTGGGTAGATTTACTCCGAAAAAACTCGAGCACTGCCCGAAAAATATTTCAAGGAATTAGAAACGTAAATGTCTTCCAAATCGAATACACACGAAATTAAACACAAAATCCCTTTAAGTATTCCTCAGATTAGTTTTTAAAACCTACACCACACCCACATCATCGATTTTTCTTCGTATCAGTTACAATAGTGACACCGTACATCTAAAGTGTACGACAATATATTTTGTCACTGTACGTTGTCGATGGTTAGGCGCCGTTTAGGCATGGTTTGGCATTTCAAAATAATACCTAGCATATTGCTACGATTGTGACATCTATATTAGATGTATAATTTAGTTTCCACATATAACTTGGCAACAAGGGCTTGGCAAGGTGTGTCCAGCCAATCCGAACACAGTAACTGCAGTGCATTATATAACCAATCACCGCATCCATGGTCATTCATCATGGTTGTCAACATAGGCCCGCGAACTATACACCAAGTAAAGAGATTACTTGGTGTATTTGACTCGATTTTTATACATGTTTTTATATATTTTCCCGGGCCTATGGTTGTCAAGGTGACAACTTGACTCTACAGATTGAAATTGATGCTTTGCCAACCCTTGCAAATAGTTTCATTGAATATATATATATATATTCTTTTAGTGATTTCGTATCTTTTAAATATCATGGAAGAAAACATTTTGCAATGTGTGATAAGAATTTAATCCCAATGAATCACCATTCCTTTCAGGCGTCACCATGGTAAACCATGACATCTCATTTCTTCTCAGCTCTGATGACATGTTTCAGGTGAAACAGAAAGATGCTATGAGTATCAAAATGTTCAGGCGTTGTTTCCTAAAATCCCGGGCAAATTTTGGAAAGCAATACTTTCAAGGAATGGTCATTCGACATTGCACTGAGTCCAGGGCTTAATCCTTATCACACCTATTTTTACAATATTAAAATCGTTGTGAATACGTTTTTTGGTTCCCTGAAGGTCCCCTTAAAAGTTTCAGTCGACTAACTCACGTTGAGTCTAAACTTGGGCGTTTTTTATCCATTGTTCCTTGGAATACATACGAAGTTACGTTAATCGCCGAAGCGAAAATCTTGGTACACAGGAGCCTCGCATGGATATGGTCATGGATAAGTTTTCTGGTTCCCTGAGACCGTCGTCTAGATTGTTAACGGGATTGTTTCTGGGACATACATGAAAAATGTCCGCTATAAAAGCCACCTTATCATATAGATGGCACTATGTATATACTTATGGGAAGTATGATCAGTTATTTCTCCTTGTGTCAATGCGGTAAATTGCTTCAGTGATTACTGATCCTGCTAACATACACCACACTGACGGTTGATGCATCCTTTTAACACCCCGGCTCTTCATGCCTAGCAACTATGCGTTTTTTTATTAGGAATCATAGACCAATAGATGGCAGTTCAGGAGGATTTTCTCCATGGGTTCCAACTCATATTCTGCCATGTGGAGTCATGTCGCGATAGCAAAATTCAAAATCAAACACCATTCAACATCTTTAATGTCAGAAGATAACGTCATTATGTATGAGCAATTTCTATGAGCAACGGCGTAACTTTCCAGCGGATTTTCTCTTCAATTTTATACTGAATCGCCTTTTTGCGAAAATGGGCCAACATTTTTGAAAAATAGACCTTTTAAGAATAAGATCTTCATTTTGGTATTGTTTTTTTTGGTTATGAATTTCATCTTTCAATAACGACATCCTGAAGATTATTTGGATCTACTTGCATTCAACATGGATTCGTTTTGGTGGGCTCATCGTTCAGCACCGTGTGGCTAATCTTGGGCATTTCTTTTTTAATTAAATAATTTATGTGATGGGGGATATCTTAGTATTTATTTTGCCAACCTTGTATTTATGCCGTACCCCGCCGTCTGCCCAAAGGTATTCACATTTCACACTGTGGCGAACGGTGAGGCCACACGGCCTAAGTGTGACAGCTCCACTGCATGTAGGTCTTCAAAGCAATTATGCAAAGCAAATTATATTCAAAACAAGATAATGTTAGAACTCTTGAAGATTTCTGTTTGGAAAAAGTTTCATTCTACGCATTCGCTTTCTATCTTTGGGACAATTTCTACTACGATCTTCATTTTTTAATCGAATGAATGCCCCTTTTAGAATTCACGTACCCTTTCGACATGAGTTAAACATGATATTCACCATAGATGAAACTAACTCAATGCAATCCACATTTGAGTTTGTTACATCGGTGGAAAAATGTAATCATTTAAAAAAAACGATTTCGCAGATATCTTGAGTATTTCTTTGTAGTTGTTTACGATCGGAATTTAGAATGTAGTTTGCATGATGAAACATTTGGAATATCCAGATTTTACCCGGTATAGCTGAAATGGAAGGTTTATAGACTTAAAATGAATGTTGTCCATCTTCTTGGATGACCCCAAATTAAGTTAGTATCATTCAGATGGGGACAAAGTATTTTTGTTATTCTGACTTGAAATATTGCGACTTATTACTTAGTCATGTTAGTATGATACTTTCTACACAACACAGAAATATTCTTAAATGGAAAAGACAGCCCCGAGAGTACTTCCCGTTAATACCACCCTCATACAAAAGGCAGATGGTATCTCGGTGATGGCTTGCGCCATTCAATCCCAATAATTCAGATGCGAGTAGGAAGTGCAGTTTCACCACCGAGGTGGTTCGTAGCATGGCGGGTATAGTAGAAAGTCCCCTTTAACTTAAATTACATATGTTTAAAGTGGTTCAATTTTCATATCACCCTTATGTATCTAATAGTAATGCAAATTAAAATATGTCCTGTAAAAGAAAATGTTATCTGTCCAATACAAGAAAAGGTATTTCACTTTTTGTGATTTCGTAGCATGGGGTCTATGGGGAATCATTTTCAATATAAACAAATTTCGAAACCATACTTCTAGAAGTACTTTTACATGTGGATTTCAAATATGACATCAATTTGACTGAATTTTGAATAATTAATGACGTAAATCAAGATTATTTCTACTCGCATCTAGTCTATTGCCATTGTTTGCGTCAACTAAACAGCTTTTAATGTATAAACAACACCTCATCCTATAATTGCATTATAAGATAACGATTTACAATATACGGACGCATCTTCTTATCTGGATAAATATCTATGTCCCAAATCAAAACATATTCAATTAAAATCAATATTGATTTTATGCCTGTCGCACAATTTATTAGGATGTCAGGTCGCCTTATATGCTCTATGTTGTTGTACACATTGCAAGTGACATTTACAAAAATGATCCAAGTCTTGCGCAATCCCCAATGGATAATAACGAGCTTCAACGAATTCAATAACAGAATAAAGAAGATCGTTTGAAGAACATGATGTTGAAGGTCATAAATGATTTGTTTATTTACAAAAACTATTCCCACATTTGTATGTTTTCAAGCTGGGGATTAGTTGGATAGCAAACACGGTATCTATAAGTATCTTGTAACTTTGATGATATGAATCAATCGCAGGTCATGTTAACATCTATATCATGAGTAGAATTGACGTGTTCAAAACATGTTTCTCGTTCATTTACAACAACTATCTGGGTATTGAAAACTTAAGATCTGATTTGGAATGTTTCTTGGACATTTTCTTCACTTTCTTTTTGTTCATCTCCAAAGCGGCGAGTCCACCGTTAATAAGTCCATTTCGGCGATTCCGAAGTCCAGCGAATGAAGACACACTGGATTTAGACCTATGGAGAGACCCATGTTCTTCACCAATACCGTCAAGCCCATCTTCACCCTGTAGTTCATCATCGGGTATATCATTCTTTCCAGGCAACACATCGGACATTTTCCCACTCTCCCAGGTCAGACTCTTGCGGAATACCGCGCTGCTGGAGCTCCTTGTGCTCTCTCTTCGGACCCAAATGTCAGAATCGGCGGATTCATCAGAATCATACGAACCAACAGAGTAATGTGAAACCCTGCGTGGAGGGTCAATACCTAGTCCATCAGCATCCTCGAGTATCCCCGGGGATTCTGAACCAGCAGACAAAGATAGCGAACCTCTTTTGTTAGAATCCGACGTGGTCGCCTCTTCAACTGCTTCAATCTGCATATCTAGAGGATTATCAGCACTTGCACTAAGTCTGTAAAGAGGAGAACCAACACTACTGGTTTGTCGGAGAACAGGCTGATTACGGCCATTACTTGAAATGTTTGACCTCTCCTTAGGTGGATAGCCCCTACTTAGTTGCCTCATATTATTGCCATTTTCAAGCAATTTCAACTTATGAAGAGTCATTTCGTGGAGCACCATCATAAAGTCATACTCCATCACCATAGAGTTTATTTGTTGTTTGGATTCCCTCAATTGCTTCTCCATAGCAACAGAGCTTTCTTTAACTGTTTTTATTTCTGCTTTTATGGAATCATTATGAGACTGAAGTTCAAGGTTTCTCTCTTTCAATCTTAAATTATCCTCTCTTAATGACATTGCCATTTCTTCTGCCTCTTTCAAAGCACTCAAGGAGTTCTGAAGCTTACATCCCGCTATATCAGAGTTCGCTTGGCTTCTCTTAGCACCCACGTCTTCACTTATTTTAATATGTTGTTCATTACAGGATGCACACGACGTAAGATCTAATTTATCCTGCAAGGCTATTACCCTTGCTTCATAAAGATCCATTACTTCTTTAATACGGTTCATGCACTTCTTTTCACACTCGGATAGTGCTTTTTGGATTCTACGGGGAATAGTTTTACTGGATTCGGGATTAGCCTTTGGTACGGGCGTCATATGAAGGAACTGTTTTGGTATGAGTGGTTTCACTGTTTGGATTTTCATCTTAGGCATTTCTGAAGAACGTCCTTTGGCCGCCCAATAATCCTTCAAATTTGTAGTTGTGCTTGGTGTTGGATCTTTTCTCTCAACATTGTCATTACCATCGAGTTGTCTGTTGATCTTATCCATTTTAGGTTCACTGAGGGTGTCTCTCTTCAGTTTATCATTAACACTAACATCTTTGGACTCAGTGAAATCATGTCTGAATGAAAATAAATCCAATATCTCAATTTGAATATCATTCCATTTTGGGAGATTCTCACTTTCACGTTCGACATCAACAATGTCATTACCGCCATATTTTGTTAACTCATCATTTTTGTCGTCTTTACCTTCAACAGGTATATCTACTCGCTGCGTCTCATAGTTTTTCGTTGTCTGTGGCTCTGTGCCTCCATGTTGCAGAGTCTCTCGGCTCCCTATTTGATAACCATCTTGAGATAATTTGATTCTTCCAACAGTATTTCCAGAGCTCCCTTCGCTTACAACATTACAGTGTTTACTGCCAACATATGCCATGGTCAATTAATTCCCCTCTAAACTAATCACATCGGATTAAATGCAGGATTGGACGAATTTAAAGAATTTTTCTATGGTATGTTTATAAATTCGTACACCTATCCTGAGGTGAGATTTCGTATTCCAATCACTGAAATAAGTCGAAATGTAAACATAGGAATGTTGATGTATGTCCATAAAAGCTAAGTACAACAATAATGTGACTGGTAGTTATCGCATAATACACATGGACATTAGTAATCGTAACTTATTGGATCACCTCCAAACTTTTAATAACAATCCGTGTTATGATTGCTCAGTTGTGAAATCAATTTCGTATCAAACGATGATCTAAAATTGAAATAAGGATGATCCTTATTTTATTTCCTTTATCTTGATTTACTGTTCACCTGATTGATAAGTTCGTTTCGTTATGTAGATATGGCTGTATACAATCACATTACGATTAGCACATATCAGGTTCGACTGACACAAGGAGATGATAGTACAAAATGTCACAAAATTTCTGCTCATCAAATTCGGCGTTCAGACGTAACATTCATCAGGTTTCGCACTTCAGTCTATTCTAAAACTGACGCTAGCTTTGTAGATCTTTCGTGTCTGATCCCTTGGATGTTTTTTATTTGTTCGATGTTATCCCAGTGTGCCCTTGAAATCAGTAAATCTCCGCCCGTGTCTGATCGTTAGCCTTGCAGATGAAGTTTATACTTGTAGTTATAACCAGGTTTTCGATTCACAGCCGGCACCTGCAAAAACACAGTGAAAAACTTTATTCAACAACGATGTCCATAAGATGAAATAGCATCAATATATCTACAATGATACATTCAAGCAAGTCCCTCTAAGTAAATGTTCCCGGGAAAATGTTCCGCGATTCATGTCTTATTCCGTGATTATTTCTGCAAATATTGAGACAATTCTAAATGACAATTGATTCATATAAATTGAATTTGTTGAAACCTTACAAATCGATTGAAGCTGTAATGAAAATGACTTGTGTTAACATAATCAACCACTCCCACGCAGCAGCCGTACGTCCCTCGGATAGTGTGCTATTTAGTATGGCTTCGTGTTTACGTTGTAAAATATCATTCTCGTAACGTTGTGCAAGCCAGGCTAATATTTTCACCACCTAAAACAACAGCCTGGTTGCATTAAGTCCAGGTGTAAAAGGGTAAATGTCCTTGAAATTGATATCATTATTCCCCATTACTTTATAAGTACTGACAACTCGTACCTCGTTATTTGAATTCAACCAGGACTGATATTGAATGAGGACAATTATCTCCAGGGGACCATAATTTCTGTTAAATGTGTCGCTGATCGAAGAAGTACCGTGCATGTTCTCATTACTAAACGATATATAAATCAGGAGGCAACTCAATCTAGAAATTATATTTATTCTGTCATTAAAGGTTGTATCAGCCGTGCACTGATCTGGAAGACGTTTTTACTTTTTATATCAAGATTATCTTTTCTTTTATCCTTTCACATCCCATAACATCGTCATTCATCTATGTTCTTTTTAAATGAAATATATTTGCAAATGTAATTACGACAAACGAACTCCTTGACATTAGCCCATTCTTAGTTTAGTTTTTAGTGTTTTCGACATCCTCTGAACATAATGCTTGACCGCCAATATATTCCCTCTTCTGGTAATGGAATGATTTACCATATCAATCGAAGAAGCTTGTTATTTTATTAACGCAACTGTATGTCTAAATATACGTGTACTAACTGGTTTTCTGCATTTTGAAGTTAAAGTACATTTACAGGTAGATCATTATCACTTAACGATAGCCTGATGTATTTCAAATGCAATGAAGATGTTGCAATCGTATAATATAGATCAAATGTTAATATACATATTATGAATTCACACTTCCATACCACCTGAATAAAACGTATTACAGTGAGGGGACCGAGTCAAAAACCAATGTGTCATTTTTTGAGGAATTGACCTCCTCCTAAAGTGCGATTACAAGCCACGTATTTTTATGTGCTTTTAGGAAAAGGGGGTGTCCGCTTGAACAGTTGAACTATATTTTATGAAAAAACAAACAATCATCGCTAATTTGACCTGGTCCCCTGGATGTTGCATTGTTCGGTTCATGTTTTATTATCCGACTTTTTTGTCTGATCATTGATTTTTATAATTTTATGAAATCGAATCGATTATTACCAGCTATACTCCATATTTTGACCTGATCCTATTATTAGTGATTAATGTGATACGATGGGTGATTTTTACTACCGGAACGGGCAAAAAACTGTGGGGAAAAAGGTGAGAAAAGGTTGCTCTCAATTCCAACTGGAGGACCACACTACCATCATAAATGATTTACAATTTTGATACTGATAACGGTCGAGATTGAGTGTGAAATGAATGTTAGAAGACAAACTAATTATCTTGAAGTGTGCACGAAATGAGTTTTTGCTATGTGTAATAGAATGAATTTGGTCAGTCAGATCTGATTACATATTCTCGCATATTGACGCCATGCGCAAACAGGTTGTAAAGTTGCACCATCAACCATCTGCGCAATTTTGTTATCAACACATGTTTTAATGATGACCTTGACCTTGCTTACATGACCTGGAATCATTTTGGAGAGACAGACTACACTTTCAACACTCAAAAGTCACAAAGTCACAAAGTGGTACCCTTTTCGTAATGAATGATGTGATGACGTCTTTCAAGGTCTACGAAGTCATGAGTAATTGTTTGAGTGGTTATACACAAGCTGATAATCTTTAACCCATTTCATCATATTAGAGAATTAGAGCTTTTCGTTTCTAATTCAGAATTTCTAAATTGTGATTTATAGTCGGACAAGTCGAAATAGTTGCACTTTGGAAATGAAGCTATAAATCACGATAGGGCAGACTTAGGACAACTTTAGCTCTCTATAAAACACACCCCATGGGTCTTAGACTCAAATATCACTAGCTAAATCATTGTACTTTCCCATTTATCTCTTTTGCACAAAATGTTACATACTATCAGAGATATGTCAGAAAATCTCTGGGTTTAGCTAATATTTCATACTCTCTCTAGAGAGATTTTGACCCGGAACGGGGGTCTATCAAGACAGCTTATAATAACGGTCCAAAAACATAAATTTAAAGAATGATGAACTACACCTCTAGTCCATCATATCCTCATAGTTTGTAAGACTATTAATTAAGTATACAACAGGCTCGTAAAATAAAGGTTCTTAGAAATTCAGAGATTTCCGATAGACTCCCCCGGAGTCTATTTTTGTCAAATTAATATTGACTTTGAGTTATGGGATATCGATCGCGTATGGTGCAATTGATCAAACTTATCCGATCGCAAAATATCTATAAAATATGGTGTTAACCGAAATATTCGAATGTTAGACAGCTGTAAATGTATATACTTCTGATATATCAACACATCTTGAAAGACTGATGAGCCCCAAACCTGTAAAAATATATGTTTTACTCAGAGTTTTTACAGAGTATCTTGCAATTGCTTCAAGAACCTACCCAATAAATAATCAGAGTGTAGTGAAGTGTATGTGCCATGTTAGCATAACCCAATAACTCACAATTTTAAAATAACACTCGGACGAACACATCACACCATGTTTACATTCATATATTCAGAAACTAAACTATTTGATAGATTTAATAAATTATTCGAGTAATTTAGTTCGACACATTAGTGAGCAATTTAGTACGAGTGAGCCCATTACAAAGCATTGTATTGTCATTCTCCCTTTATTTCAATCAAGGAAAGTGTATTTTATCAACGGTAGATGATGGAATGGTTAAGATTTATACGCTTGTATCAGCAATTAAAAACGATTGTTTTAAAGCATATGTTTTAAAAAAAATTATCCTCTAGACATGATAATGAATATTATTCTGGGATTGCAACTCCAGATCTCATATTGTTTAGTTGACGGAAGCTTTATTCAACAGCTGTATTGTGATTCGTCTTACCTTTGGTGAAAATAAAAATCCCCTCGTATCTAAATGGTTGTTCGATAAATACAAATATCACTTTTCGCGTTCATCTGCTTGCAAAAACATATGCTTCTCGCTATACGTTTGAGACTTGGAAAATGATAAATGAAGCTATTGCATGATGATGTAACGAAACTGATTGACGTTCGGCAAATTAGTGAATAACGCTAGCAGTCTACGTGAAAATGTCAATGGTGCATTAACTGAAAATATCTTCAAAGACTGTTACTTATCAACAGATAATTCCTGATTAGTTTCGAGGTTCGTTCTGACACTTAGTAATGAACTTATGCTGACGTTATTCAAATCGAATTCATTATTTTCGACTCCGCCATGGGTTATCATGGATGTCGTGATTAAAACAACTGTTTTTGTAATCTATCCATGTACTCCACCCGGACGTCGATCCTCGTCAACTAAACAATTTCTATTATCAAGACTCTCCAGAGCAAAGGATTATTTATAAGTACTCTTTATAAATAACCCTTTGCTGATAGATTTATCATAATTGTTAGAACTTTACCCAAAATAAAGTGCTTGTAAGATTATATGTCCACGTGGTACGAGTTATGGGATCCATTATTTTCAGAAAATCAACGTAAATAATGACGTATGCATCCGATGATCTCCATCGACCGTGTCCTTTAAATATCGTATGGTATATTCGACTTGTCTCATGAAACTAATGAAGTAAAAGTAATAGCCTTGTCGAGTAATCTGGCCTTTGCCCTTTAAGAGTAATTTGGAATTACAGACCTACAGACCTACGACGTTGTTCATATTCATCGCGAATACATTTGTAAAGTCCGGGGGTAAGGGCGTTGGTGGCAAGGAAAGGACAACAAAATCCAAAGATAAAATATGATAAAATCTATTCCAACTTATGCACATTGCATTTATACAACAAGTACTAACCTGGGGACTTGTTAAAATGAGAATAATAAAGGAAATAGGGATTGATATGAAAAGTGAGAAATATAAAACTATGAAATTGGCCATGTTACAAACTTATTCTAACAGCTTTGGTGATTTTGTAAAAAGGGCCAAAACGGAGTCAAATGCTGCAAGGCTATTACTTAAAGGTGCAACGGCCATTTAACGATCATGGACCAGTGTCAAAATATATATTTCATCAAGACTAACATATATTTTTATTTTCTCCATAGAAACCCTCAAGATGAACATTATTTCAGCTGATATTCCTCTTGAAATGTGATGGATCTTAAAAATCCATAAGTGGGACTCCCTTTATAGAAGCTTTGAACTGAATTTACACTTCTTAATACTGAAATTGATAGTTTATCCATACATTTTAAGAAAATTGGTATGTCAAAGAAGATGTTAAGCCCAAAGTTAAAAATTTTGAACTTTCTCTCTACAGACCTTGTTGCCCCTTTAATAAGGACAAAGAATTTAGCCAAAATATGAAGCGTCAAAATGACGGCGCAAATTGCGTCATGAATATCTAGTCCATTTTATCGCCAATCTTTCAGCACGGTAACGCATGGATTAGGCGTTAGGTAACACGTAAGGTAAGACGTAAATTACGAAAAGTAAGGTGTAAATTACGTTACGGTGAGGTGAGACGTAAACGACACGTAAGCTAAGACGTAACTCACGCGTGATCGTCTCGAGGATAACGTAAGTATTATTCAAAAAGCGAGTTTGAAGCCATGAATTACGCCAAACTTGGAATCCATCATAACAATTTTTGCGTTAAGAGTATAATCTTTATAACCAAATAACC